GGACGGCTTTTCTGGCTACGAGGTCGGAACGAAAGAGGATAAAAGCGTTTGGAGGACGTGGAATGTGACCTGGAGCGGTCTTGCGGGAGTGAGAGGCGGGTTGGTCTGCGGACCGATTGGCTCGCGAGGGGATATTGTCCGTGTAAAATTCGTCGAGTACGTCTGCAGTTCTCTTGCGCGAGTTGCTGGCCGTCGAATTGGCAGGAGATGCCGCCGCCGCTGGCAAGGATGCATCATTGGTCGAAGTGAGAGTTGTTGAAGAAGTTGAGGTGGCTGCGGCCGACTTGTCGTTGGATGACGATGGTGATGCCTTGTCGACATGTTGAAAGGTGGTTGGAGTTAGGTTTGTGGTAAAAGTAAACGAGTATGCGGGCGGTGGGACGCTGGGGGTGGAGGAGGAGAGATGGGACTGGCTCGTGAGGGACGAGATACCAGCAGCAGCTACTCCTGATAACGAGAGACCTGTTGGGTCATCTGAAACTAGTACAGGTGAGCGTGTATAGTCGCGCAAGAGAGTCGAGGGGGACTCACCCAAGCCCGGCAAGGAGGATGTCCTTCTGACCTTTCTGCGGGTGGGCATTGGTGCGAGTTCAAAGAGTGATTTGTCGTCGTCGTCGTCGATTGAAAAGGACAGGAAATAACAGGACGACGCAAACCCAGGAAGAGAGGGGGAAAGAAGAGGGTAGGTCAGGATTATAGGGTATATCTACTAGTGTATATTACAATATTTATTTAATTATTTAATTATTTAATATCGATCAGAGGTCTCGGGGTCCTGTCACCCCGTATATGGACATTCCGAGCTGTATTCGCCGCCGAGTCCGACTGTGAAGGACTCCCATATATGGACACGCTTTGTTCCCGCTCCGAGCAGCACGTCCTCCATGGCGTAGGACGTGAGGCTGGGCGAGTGCGACTGCAAGGAGCACGAGTTTAGAGGGAGTGAAGAGAGCGAGAGCGAGTTCAGAGGGAGTTTGGAGAGAGTTTAGAGGGAGTTTAGAGGGAGAGAGATGGCTAGAAAGTAGATAGTACACTGCTGTTTGCCTCTGTACTACTTGTTCGCCTCATTGCGTATGCCGTATGACCATATGTGCTAACAGCGCCCATCCCCACAAAATCCATCACCTGAGAGCAACCTCTGGCTCAATCTCTGGCTCAACCTCTCAAACTCTGAGCCTCTGAAACTCGATAAAATTCATCGAGCTTGCATCTCATCATCAGGCTCACTCTCTCTCGGCAAGCCGGAGCGGATAGATTCTACCTCTGACCCTGTCCAGTAGCCTTTTGAATTTTGGGTTGGGCCCCCTTCTCACTAACTATCTA